AATAACTCGCTAATTATAGGACATAATTCATCCAAAACGATAGGCTTCTAATCCGAGATATGATGAATGCACGTGCAAAATTTGAAGCAAATTCCACCACGCTTTCGTGATATATCGCGTGTATCTAACAGACAGACAAACAAACAAACAAACAAACCTATCAACATGCTTACCGATCTTTAGATCGATAAGTAACAAACAGACAAATACCTATCAACATACTTACCGATCAAGATCGATAAGTAACAACATCGGGCCGATATAACGGTTGAGCTCTAATCCTGAAGGAGTGTGACAATGAAGATTCATGCCTCCAGTCACAACGTGAATCGAAATACCAAAAGATACAAGTCACAACTGTAGTTTGCACTTTTACCGGTACCTAGTAGTCTGCCTCAGGGTGGTTCAAGGTTGCTAGATTGAAGGACCGCAAAAACTTTTGAGGAGGTCTCGCGGGCCGCAGGTCGGAGAGAACCCAAAAGTGATCGAAATATCGCGAGTTTACTTATTTAAATTTAATAAACAACGAGTGTTTACCGTTCTAATCAGACCATTATTATGTTGCATGGGTGGCGTTCTTTTAAAGAAGATATAGAAAGCCTTCAGTCATTTAAAAAGTAATTCCTTAAAATTAACGTTGTATTTCCGCATCTCGCGTTTGATGTCGCTTCAAATTTTAATCATTTCGTGACAGATATTACTTGAAATCAAACCAGATACTGTGTGATGGGCAAAGAAATACGTTTCCGTGTTTTCCTTATGCCACTTTTCTTGAGACAATCATTTTATTACGAATTGTTATATTTGAGTAGTTTAAAAACGTGTAGCGTGGGGAAGCTTAGTGCCATTGTCAAATAACCACCAAGTATTTCGGGATCTTGCTGAAAAAAACTGCATTTTGTGCGGCGTTAAGTCGGCTCTGCGTTTTGTCACTACTGTCACATGACTCACGATTGAAAACAGAGGAGTGTTTTTACTAAATATAAAGGTACAAAGCGTTAGAAAAAAAGGGTTTGAATTTCGGGATTCCAACCCCAGTTGGGGCAATGAGGTACCTATGCACCCGGGCGCCAAGGTACAGGGGCGCCAAAATGAGGCTTGCAAAAATTTCACAACAAGGGTAAAAAACCGGTCACAAGCCAGGTTGCACTGGCGGCAGACATCTAGTTGTAGTACATGGCTAACTTCACACTCGGTCAGACCACTTGCGTCGACTGCCGCCGTCATCAGCCACATACCTCGCGCGCGGTCAGATTTCCATCGTAATTACAAGGCCAAAAAGGCTGGCCGGGAAACAAAGCAAAAATTGATTTGGTATAACACGGGGTTGATTACGTGCTTCTGTATCGTTAAATTCTTGCCTGTGCACTTCGGTGTAAGTTGATATTAGTTCTGTGCTGGAGACAAAGGGCAACGGAATTTGGTTGAATGATGTTGAACAGCGAAATGCTGGTAATACATGTTTTGAGTAATACGTGGTTCTGTATTTCGTGGTTGTAAAAGGCAGACCTTGCGGCAGACTTACATAAAAAATATTATACTGTGCTAAAAAACCCGATGCCGTTTTCGACAAATGATAAAGTGAGCTGCAAAACGTTTCCCGGTAGCCCACGACGCAGACCTAACTTTTGGTGGCAAGGGTTTGTTCAGTTCCCGCCTGGCAACGGCATTCGTAAAATGTGTGGTTTACTGAGCCCTTGGCCTAATATTTATAATTACCACAACTTGCAACGCAACAATTCAGTTTGATGCATCGTGTCACCTCAACACTAGGCTACCACGTACCGGTACTTCTAAGTATTGAAAGAGAAACATTGGAAAAAACAGATTTTGATGACGAGGTTAAACAGTTTGCGACATTAAAATAAAAAAATTTATTGTAGACTATGTAAATTATCTTTGACAGTAACGGAGTGAGACATTATGGACATATGCTATATTTTGTATAGCTTTGCTTCCTCTTTTAATAAAATGTTCCATTAAAATTTGAATTGTTTTTACATAATAATATAATATATATGATTAAACGTGGAGATCAGGGCGCCAATTTTATAGTTCGCCCCTGGCGCAAAATATTCTGGCTACGCCTCTGGTCCCACGGTCTTTTTCTCCATGATAAAAATATAATTTCTGTCCTGTGCTATACCAATGGCATGGGCAGATAAGCCTACAGGCTGGAGTAGTCGTGACAAGAGAAGTTTTGCTAAGAACCCTCTTTGTGATATTAGCAAAGATCAGTATATATTCTAAAATAAGTGTCGATTGACTGTACTGATTTTATGAATTTTGAATGATCATGAATTTTTCGTGGAACACTGAACAAAAATTTCCGATTTTGTGGAAACTATCCGAATAACCAACAATCTCGATCAGTTATAGCGTAGGAATGAAATTACAACAAGACCAATGGCTTATGACGCAACAAATTCATGACTACAGGGAACAAAAGTACGCTAAAAAAATCCAATGAGAATTATTTAAAACTAAATGTGCTAGCCGTTAATAGAAATGAAATATCAATATGATAAATGAGCTTGTTTAAATCAGCACGAATCTTTTATTTTGGCTGGGATTCAGGTAATTCAAACACGTAGTTCTTATTCGACGGTTGTCGGTTTCTTATCATTATATTTGTGAATGACTTTGATAAACTGCCTTGAAATAGCTAACTAGATTTATCTTATGATGTTATAAACCTCAAAACGAGATTCTGACATTCCAGAGGTCGCTTGTTAAAGAACGTTGTTGATTTCTCGAGCATCGATTTGTTTATTACGTATCGTTTATTTTTTATTAGGTACTTCAATTGAATCAAAATTCCTACGCGTGACCCAGCTTCAAGCATTTTTTTTATAAAAGGTCAGAATGACCACTTGACTCAAACTAAATTCCTAAAACACAGCAGAATTTGACCAATCACTACTAACATTACGAAAACGAGTCAAGTTGAAAATGTCGTCTGAGCGGCTGATTAAATTTCAATCGTTACGTTTCCGTTACCATTTTGCTCTTTAATTAACCCTTGTTTCGGAAACGAGGAAATCCGTATCAAGGAAAACGTTTATTACACGCAACAGAACCGTCTTAAAAACTGAATACGTGCCTGGTTTATTTGGATTCCTTTTTATTATCCTAAAATATGCAAAAAATATTGAAAAAAAAATGGGGACAACAATTTGACACGAAACAATTAAAGATCTCTCTCTTATGGAACACCAGTCTTCCGCCGGTTGAAACAGTGAACACCGGTTAAAAATCACTGTGTTATGGTTTGGAGTATCAATTGTTTCTATTCTACTTGTGGGAAAACTCTCATATCGGCGATGAGTTGAAGTCTTTGAGTGGTTGAACCTGCAGTCTGTCCATAAAGGCTAAATTTTCATAAAAGCATCTTTTCGGATTTAACAAAGATTCCGTTTGGAAATTCATTTTGTTTGCATTTACTTAGTTCTTTAATAATATTGCATATAAAACAACACACGGCACTAAATATTTGAATCGTTTCTCCTGGACGTCAAACCGACATGCGCGTTGTACTGAGATCGATGTCCGGCGTTTCAAGAATCGCTATTTGCTACTTTGATGGACATTGTGTAATACTAATTTGTTACTGATCCTTCGTGCACAAGATTCTGAAATACACGTAGATTTGATGCCCCGTTCTACTCTTATTCGTATGTCTGTAATATTGACGTTATATCAAACAACAAGATGACAAGATTGTCATGTCACTGGCAGGCTTCGGATTGATATTCATAGTTCACTCCAGTGCTAACTCCCTATACCCCAACTGGCTGCTTCTAGGGGGAGGACACAACTAGAAAATACAAATCTTATGAATTATTAAATTAACGCTACGAGTATTCAATATTCTCTGAATAAAATTTAAACATCTAAACTGTATATATATGTCAGCTACATTCAAAATAGGACCACAGCATATTTTTATGGGCTTATAGGTTGACGTCAAATTCTTATTCAAAATAGTTGCATTTATTTGGATATGTCTAATCAAATCTTCCATGAGAATTCCCATCGCAATTTTGTTGTTTAGAAACTTTATTTTGCTATATTCACCAGAAAACGAATATTGTTGTAAACTTATTATTATATATATAATTATTCATGTTAACTGTTGAGTCAATAAAGGACTCACCAAAAATGAGATATATATGGAAATTCTTAAAGAATTATCATAGATAAAAATAAAAGGTAAATCTATCATTTCTTCTCTGATAGAATGGCTTATAATTGTCAATTTGTCCAATGACTGGTTTCGTCAACGCATTAGCATTGAGATGAACTTATGATAATGATAACTTATTATATATATTTATTCATGTTAACTGTTGAGTCAATAAAGGACTCACCAAAAACGAGATATGGAAATTCTTAAAGAATTGTCATAGATAAAAATAAAAGGTAAATCTATCATTTCTTCTCTGATAGAATGACTTAGAATTGTTAATTTGTCCATTGAGATGAACAAAATTACAATAATTTTTTTTATCTCAATTGCAAAATTGACTACGTCCGCTGCCCGTTCCAGATAATATCCGCATCGCGATAATAATAATGTGTTTACGGAAACTTGCGTTCCATTTTTTAAATTTAAAAAATGTCTGAATCTTTTTTTGACTGCTAAATTATTCCATAGTTCTAAATCTAGATTATAAAAACTTTCCAAACTTAGCATATATTATACCTTTAGTATATTCGAAATATTAGCAAACTGGAAAGAAGTTTATTTGAATCTCTCATTACTTAAAATATTACAGCTGACCGCTGAATGATTGGTTGACCATCGTAACCAAAGTAAAATGCCGTCTTCCAGAATCTAGATCGCCACTTTGAAACCAAGTTAGGTACTTTAAATATATTCCCTTGAAGTGAGTTTAGAATCTTGTTTAGTGCAAACTTGTATAAAATAACCACAAAACTCATTTTCACTTATCTCTAAAATCTGGCAATGTAAAAACTCGTCCCACAAGACTTATTTGCTAAATGTTTTGATTTATTAGATGGAGCTACACAGCAAATTATACTAGCTGAAGAGGTTTGTGTACACGCACACACACATATATATATATGTACATAATATTTTTTCAATCTCGTATATTTGAAGAAATAGTATATTTTGATTATATCTTCCATAGACAAAATCTTTACAACTTGAAAATCTATATAACAATAAGTTGGATATTGTAATAACTATATTTCCATGTTTATTTAAACGATTAGTAAACGATACACTTTAGGAATTAGTAATTATTCAAGCACATATAAATTCTACCAATTTTGTAGACCACCGATATTCATGAATGCAGCATAAATCATCTTGCTACAAAAAGATTGTTAAGACAAATAGTCCATGAAATATAGCTCATTCTAGATGATATGCAAATATAGTAAATTTTTTTTTTTTAGGGAATAGGCATTTATGAAGATTTCCGGAATACTTTCATTCTACTTTAAAAATAAATTGCATTACTACGGTTTTGCAATTTGAAATTTATCATTTTTCTTTTTTAACGTTGTCTTTGAAGTGATTCTGTACGTTTCCTGCAGGATCGTACAAAGCAACAATATATGTTTTTCCATCTTTATTGGACGCAACTCCAATACCAACACTTTTACTTCCACCCCATATCATTTGTGTGAAATTTCCTAGAAAAATGTATTGCAGTATTTGTGACAACTGAAATTGTTTTATAATTTGATATTAAAACAGTTCAAAAATACATTACAAGAAATTAGTTTTATTTTAAGACTATTTCTCTGTTTGCAAATGCGTGTTGTTATGTTGAATATACCAAATAAACATAAGAACTTTTTCTCTAATCAGAATATATGCTAGTTATCGTATAGTTACCAGATTCTCTGCTGAACTCTCCTCGTTTAAAGTCATATTCATCCTTTCCCTTGTACCACATTTCCGCAATGCTATTGCCTGAAACGAACATTCAACAGATAAATCGACGATATTTATGATATTTAGTTAGTCAATTACAAATTCTGTCGTCGAGTAACACGACAAGTTTACCTGACGGTCTTGGTAGCTTCATTGCAAGAGTTTGTCCGTAGTTGCCTGAATGGAGCGAAATTTTGTCTTTTTTCAACATTTTGTCCGCGTGTTCCTGAGCAACTTTGTCAATGTTGCTGTCGGCTTTAAGTCTGTGTGAAGTTTTAATTAGCTGAACATAATGTAGGTAGGTAGACTTGTTTTATAGGAGTAATTTTTTTTAATGTGATTTAATTGTTGTATATATATATATATTGATATATATAGGATTCTAGACAATAATTGTGGCGACAAGCAATGCGGAGCATGCGAAAAATTCAAAACAAAAAGCGTTCCTCCTTAATTAATACAACAAAGCAAAATGTTTGGTGAATATGATGTCGATTTGAGTAATACCTTTCCAGCCAATAATTTCGGCATTAGTTGTGGAGAAAGGCGATTTTTCAAAAACAAAACAAAAATCGCTACAACAACAATATATTAGCGAAAAGATCCCACATAGTGTTTAATTAGTGCGTTTTTACTCGATGAACGTTTTTGTTAACAAACCCGGTTGCCTGGTGCTTTCGTCTGAATTGGTTGATTTTTATCAGAAGATCACTTCGAAATTCCTTAGTATTTGAATTAGACATGTCGTTTTTTCCGTCGTGTTTTTTGTCGTCATCTGAATCACTGACATTCAATTTTTTCATTTTGTCGCTCAGCTTGCTTTTACCTTTGAATTTTATTGTTTAGAGTTAGATATCGGGTATATAGTGATAATCATATTACCCATATACCAAAATAGGATTTTATTTCAGTGCGTTAAATGAGGTTTGGTTTTTTATTGGGTATCAGAGTTAATTGAAAAGCGACCTAATTATAAAAATGACTTCAGGAAATTAAAGCAAGTTATTTTGATTTACCATGGTTTTTCAAATCATCTTTCTTTACAACCCTAATCGATATTTATTTTGGATACACTACTGCAGGGTGGTCCAAACCCAGGCCCGCGGGCCACATTTGGCCCGCCGCTCCATTATCTGTGGCCCGCGGCGCATTCGAAGAGTAATCAAAATATGATATTTTAAATTGCTTCTCATGAAATAAATCAGAGAAATCGTTTGACCTATTGTTGTTATATCACTACTGTGACTGAATTGACTAGTATGATGGCTAGCTGAAGCAACTAGCGAAGTTGAAGATGTGATGGGCAGTCTAAATTGTTACCTGGATTTCTATCGTTTTGATCGGGAATATATGCTAACAATATGGACCTGATAGAAAACTAAACATCGGATACGGATTCCATTAGCCTAGGTTGGCAATGCCTGATAACTATGTGTTTACACAATAGAAGTGCTTGTTTTGTATTGCACTGTTTACCTATTCTTGATACTATTGTGGCCCGCGACCAATGCCAAAAAAATTTTGTGGCCCGCGGAGCCCACAACCTTGGACCACCCTGCACTACTGTATCATTGTTTGTAAATATTCTCCTCATTATGTGAATGTCTGCTGCCTGGTTTTAAAGTAGCATCACAACATGTGAAATACCTCCTTTTGCGCCACTATCACTATCATCATCTGACCCGACTTCTTGCTTTTTTGTGCTAGTATTTATTTTTGTTTTGTATCCTCCATCAGCGGTCTTTGTAACAGTCGTCGTTGTGATTATTGTCTTTTTTATTCTTTTTCCTGTAAAAATTAAAAAAAAAGACATGCATCAAGCAACATGCACGTTCTTAGGACTTAAAGCATTAGTACATATGCTGCTAAAACTAGTTGAAAAAATGATAAAATGAGTTGCGGTAGATTGATGATATTTTTAAAAGTTTACGATTATATGCATTTTATTGTCTTCGATCAGTCATTGCAAATTTTATGCATTGGTGAACGTAAAGTATGCACGTTTACCCAGAATGATATATTCAGAGACAGATATAAGTTTATTTAATGCAGGTATATGTTACACGAATATTCTATCCTCGCTATGGAGACAAGATAAACTAGGTCCACGCCCTGACATGGACAAACTACGGTCTCGGGAATCAAATCAGGCTCTTTGGGTAATTCAATATGCCCGCCTGATGCTGCTACAACCAAATTAAAACCAAATTTTATTTAAAAAATATCTCAACAAATTTGTTGGTAATGCGATTAAATTTAGTTTTGTCACGAGGCTTATTGTTTTCCACATTGGCTATTGTAACACTGTAAATATTGTCGATAAAATGTAACTTTACACTTAAATGGCCCGCTAGTCTAGGTAGCCCCTGGTACAAAAACCTTGGCATCTTTGTCTTTAGCGAGTATATATGAACCCAACTTCAAATAGCGAATTTCTCTCGTATAATAATCATTTTTTAGAACTGATCATTACTATTTTCAAACTCTTTATGCAAAGAACTTCTATGCATCAAAAATACAATAACCCCTCAGATATTTTATTGACTGCTAAAGTATCTATATTTTCAATAGCATTATAAATCAAACATATATACGTATGTATTGAAATGTTGTGGACAATATTATTTGCAGAAATATAACATAAGTTTTTAATTTTTGGCTATATTTGTATAGAATTTAATACTTCATTTATGTGTGGACAGTACGGTGAATGTACGGATCAATCCAAGTTACGACTAATATAGCTAAAATACTACAAAAATGACAGATAATAGCTATATACTTTATGCATTAAATCAGGGCTACTCAACTGGCGGTCCGAATCTGAACCTTTCGAGTATTAGATTCGGGCCGCAGCTAAATCTTTATTTCAACGTTTCATTTTATAAAATGACTTTCATTGTTTTGAATATATATGAGAAGAACTATAACACCATATTAAACAATTTTGATTAGCTAATAATTAATCGTTAGCCGGCCGAGGAAGTGCGCGTTTAAGGATGCCGAAATATAATTTCTGGAAACACCGGACCGAATTAATTTTGGAGTTTTGTATGCGGATCTTAGGTAAAAATAGATGAGTAGCCCTGCATTAAATTATTCATACTACATTCCTAAAAAGGGAGAGGCGGGTTTCATAAAATTTCACAATTCTCAAATTTTCGTCATGTTCGATCACGTACAATGTGACACGCCCGCTGTGTGCTCTGTCTCGTCCATAATAAAACACCATACGTTCAGAACAAATAAAGAATAAAATCACGCAATGGAAACGTGCTTTGAATAAAAGAAGAATAAATATATATATCGAGAAACGCATGATGAATTACTATAGATTATTCTAAAGTTTGATTTTAGGGTTTTCAATTACCTTTTTGTTATTTGAAAAGAATATTGGCAATGTCTACCATTCAACGGTTTTATATGTGGTCTTATTGCATTCAAGTTATCGTACATGGAGGTTTGAAATAACTGGTTCACGAACCAGCTATTATTTTTTAGGATGTATTACAGAAGTTCATTTATGTATTAAGAAGGACTACTTCCAAAATACAGTTCTTGATTGAATCTTACAGGGAAAATTCATTCATGTAAGTGACCGACCGTCGGCGCAATAAAAACATAGCATTATTTAAAAGTAGGGAAATTCTCCCAGAGATGCCAATCCTTAGAAAGGCACGCGCTAAATATACCAATTTTATTTTGATTTACGTCAATTCGCCCACGTATCAAACCGCACGCCTCCTTAAGTGCTTAGATAACGGTCTTACGGAATATTTGCACAAAAAATATTCATGGTGCTATTGAAAATCGAGTATTAAATATCCAGTATTTTGATAGGAATTTTGAAGAAATACTGTATCTTAGTTATTTACAACGTATAAGCTCATCATTAAAATAGAATTATAAATATAGTTAGTCCTATAAGTACTGCAATTCGCATTCACTTTTGTAAAATCGTTTTTAATATCAACATATTAAAGGCTTCCACGGCTCAAGGCTTCACCCAAAGTCATTTCACGTGTACAAAACTTGACGTAAATCTCAATTGATGGACGTATGCATCCGGTTTCTTGTTGAAGCGTTTGAATGTTCATTCAATTTTAAATTAATTCATTCAGACGTCGCTATTTGGTGTAATGTGTATTTGATGATTTAGCCCTGAGGGCATAATCGAGTTTGTAGTCTTCATGGTTACAACTAATTGGACTTTTATTTGAAAAATGTTGTAAGCCGAGGTCAAATATACAGAAATAAACAAAATGTAACTTATCGCTCGAATTTATTTGAAATCTCAGCTCAAATATTGAAACAAATGGTTATATGTGGTGATGCGCAAAATACCTGAGACTTTGAGATGCTATATAACGCCTTGCCTTGGTATCGATTTTGTTTAAAAATATTGCAAATTCTGAGTTCACAAACAAGCTTAACTTTGCTTTTCTTTGGAATGCTTTTTGAAGTTGAAGTCTTCAATAAAATGTTTTGTTACAAATATTTTTTGCAACATTTCAGTAACAAATGTACTTTTAAGCAATTTGCGCATTTGATATACAGAATATATATAATGACGAAAACTTACCATCTTCTTTGACGTATTCCGTGGTCGTAGTCTCAGTGGTTCCTTCCTTCGGCATTTTCTTGATCTACCTGTACCCGATTATCTGCTGACAAACACTTTTTGACAGTTCAATAAGCCTACTAATGCGAAATGGCAATGATCCAATGCTTTATATGGCTGTAACCAGATGAACCGTAAACCCTATTTGTCTGACGAAAACATATTTCGTTCACGTTTTCCAATATTGTACAGAAATCGTAGGCGTTGTCGTCTGCAGCGTTCATGCGTATCGCTTACGTCATACTTCGACCGCACATATCGTGCGCGTTTTCACAAAAATGTCGTTGTAAAATATCAAATCGTGAATCACGAATTTTCGATTACGACATACACTGAATATTCGTTGAAATGGAACGTTTAATATATGTAGTATTTACACAGAGAAGTGTTGTATCTCAAAAAGTTTGCTACATATATATGGGTTTAGGCTGAACCAGTTATGCCAGTAGTGTAACTGCCAGCTTTCTACAACACTGGTAATTCTGGAACAATACAGTTTTTGGCGTAATTGAATAAAATAGCTGCGGGAGGTATAAACGTTAGGGGGACATGGTGAAAATTTGTAGCACGGCTTTTACTGGGGTGATTGCGGCAATAATTCATTTTCCGGGTTTATAAGTGAATAAATCCAGCTGTCAATTTATATTACGCTATTCATCTGTTTATGACCCTTTGCTTTACATAGAATATATTGATGAGGTCATATTTTATGTCATGCAGATCTCAAAATGATATGTGCTTATTAACATTCAAACCCAAGGTCTATATTTAAAACCACTCGCATGTAATAAACGACGTAATTAGTTTCTACTGTTTCCTTTTCTGTATTTCGGGTATATTGAAAACATTTGGATTTTGAGTTCTTTCTGACCGTTTGAGAAGACTAGTTTACCAATGTCACATGTTCAAATTAAATGATATATAACAAAATTTACTGTTTTTTGGCGTTTGGCTGATAATGATACAAATGATATTATTATGTTAGTATGTGATGCCAAGTTTTGATATCGGAGAAGGTAGGTATATACGGCTGTGATTCATCGTTAGTGCTTCTATTCATACAAGAAACTGAAAAATTAAAATTTTGAAATATTATTATTTATTCTCCTGCCAAATAATTGGAAGTGACAAACATTAAAACTATCATGTGTGTTTAGATTGAAATTCAGTATCAATTTAGTTATATTTATATTTTAATGGTAAATAAAAACAAACTTCCAAGCTATATTCACAATACATTTCTACATTTTTACGAATATTGTTATAAAGATGTTGAGTATCATGTTGAGTTCACTTATTATCAAATCATAAAATTACCGATTGTTTTACGAGATCTCACAGGGTGAAATAAAATATGTCTTTTTAATTACTAAAGTGACACTCGCAGTTCAAACTAATTCTACTTTAGCTTTGGTATTATACCAAAAAAAAATTTGTTTTATCTTATATTTTAGTTCTTTTACAATTCTTTAGCTCTGACATTTTCCTTGTATTGGCCTCTCGTGTTTCCTCCAGGATTGTAGAGTGCAGCAATGTAAGATTCTCCATCTTCGTTTGAAGCAATTCCAACTCCGATCTCTTTTGTACTACGCCATACCATTTGAGTGAAATAAGCTGAAAGATGCAAATAAAATTTTCATTAAAATTGGAGATCCAATTACCACAGAGCGCGATATAGGAAGATCAAACATATCCACTAGTCTACTATATATATATATATATATACCAGTTCCTATGATAATACAGTTTAAACTGATGGCGTAAGAAGAAATATTCAAATAAAAAATCGACAATGAGCAAATATACCATCATAATAATAAACGTAATGACTATTATATATATTTGAATTTTCAAATCATGTCGAAATTTCATCACTTCGGTTAAAATAACTAAGTTGTGGCAATCTCATATCTTCGCACCACATTCAAAAATTTCGATAAACAAACTTCAATTTGAATTGCAATTTTGTTCTGCAATCATCAATGTGGAAAACCGATAAAAATTATCTTACAAGCAGCTGTTGTATTCTTGTCTGGATTGTCAGAATCGTAATCTTTCCCTCCTTCATACCACATATCAGCAATTTCCTCACCTTCAAAAGTAATTTTATATAAACAATTTAAACTAATTCGAAACGCAGACTTCAACAATCTCTAGTTTTTGTAATTGAACTGAAAATTAAAAAAATTTATAATACTAGTCAGTTACGCACTTTCTCAAAATGCAATTCAAGTTTAATTTTGTATATAATGCAACTAAAACATAATTGACATTGAAAAACCATTAGGACACAAAAACGATCCTTAAATATGCAGCCTGAAGCTCATCTTGAGTGAAGGAACTTTTCCATTTATTATCAATCTATGAATGGTTTTAAATTATTTCGCTAATTTTTTTAAATAAATATTTTTAAGATAATAGCCTTGGGATATCTCATTAAAATTACTTTAGTAATATATAATATATTGTTAAAAAAATATGCGTTGAATAACTGTTGCGTCTCCTGTACACATTTTCAAATTTTACATATAAATTAATATTGACAAGAAACTTACCGTACCGTACCAGAGAACTGACTAATAGATGAAAAAGTGATTTTAAAATATATTTCAAACACGCAATTGAACCTGATGGTCTTGGCATTTTCATTGTGATGGTTTGTCCGTAACTCCGATCGGTATAACCAAAAAGATCGCCCGATTTTAGCATTTCCTCAGCATGTTTTTGTGCGGCATCTTGCATGGAACGTTTCATTTGAAGACTGAAGTTGTAAGACGAAATACAGGTCAATGTCATTTGCTTACATAGATTAAAAGTTGACAAAAATAAGTGAGGGAGATATTAATCTTTCCTAATTCTAAATATCACCTTATCAGTCATAATAGTTGCTTGATGGGCGTGCTGCTCCAAGTCCGCTGGTAGGCATACTTACAGTATGAAACACTGTTTGTGTGCATACTTGTGTCAAAATTTTATGCTTATCGAGAATTGGTAATGATGGATAATTTAATGTAAAAGGGTAATGTAATGATAGAGTTGTAAAGTTATATTAAGTAATCTAAACTGTTGTGTTCAGGTAGAAAAAGATTAGCAATGAACTATGTGTTTTGTTGAAAAAAATGGCTAGTTTTATTCTACCTTCCTGCTCCATGGTTTTCACGACGTTTATTTATAACATTGATCAGATCAGTAGAAAACTTGTCGGTATCACCAGAAGATAAAACATTTTGTCCATCACGCGGTTTGTCTTTCAACCCAAGTTTGTCCATGCCGTCTGACACATCATCTGTTGAGAGTTGGAATTAGTGTAGAAACTGTCTTTTTCTGACTTTGCAATCGCAAACTTTACGAAAGTAATCGGAGTAGTTCATTTGACTTCCATATATAGGTATATGTTATTCACACATTCTTACTGCTATTTAAACTATGATTTTCATTGATGAATAAAGAACAGACTCTCAACTCTTTGTTGTTATGACAACAGATTATTATGTAGTATTTATGCAATGACTCAAATCTCATATATAATAACACTTAATGAACGATTTCTTATGGGAATGTGTTTCTGAACATTAAATATTGTATAGCTACTTACTTAGTTGTCTGGACTTCGTTACAGTAGAAATTGAAGTCGCCAGACTCCCATCAGAGTTTTTGGTTACAGTTGTCGTTGTTATCGTCGTTTTCTCCCATTTTTTGCCTGTTTTAAAAAATATTTTATGTCAAACGGTAACTCAAAATACGTTCAAAAATTCAGTATTAATCTAGTATTAAAAATAGACAATTTTTTTTATTATTAACATTACATTATTTGGTTGGTATCGAGTAGTAGTATCTTTTAACAGAAGTCACTATTGGAAATAAAAATTTACGTAAGGAACATGACATTTTCACAAATGATATGAAGTAAAACATAAAATGTATTTACAAAATTACAATATTAAACAGAAGTATAATAATTGAATTATTTATATAAACTGAATAATCTTTCAACTTCCACCAGTTACGTATATGTGTGTAGTAAATAATATACCTATTAATATATTTTTACCAAACTACAAAAATTAAATAATTATTTTTCTCATTTCGAGCATTACCGTCTATATCCACGATTTCGACATTGGTCTTTTCGGTTACACCGGGTTTTGGCACATCGGAACCTGACAACATAAAGCAATAAATGTATAAATTACAAACTAAACAGATGTATTGAGTTTTATATAAACTAATCAATCAAAATTTGAATATTAAATTATGCTAATAATGTGATATTCCTTTTTTACTTTCCGACTCTGTTTCATTTTTCGGATCCAGTTCTTTGTCCAGTTTTCCAGTAAGCTCTCCCACATTATCTTTGTATTGTCCGTAAACGTTTCCTTGTGGTGTATAATTTCCACATGCGTACATCACTAAATTGCGTAAAAAAATAGTCAATTCAATAAGTAGTCTTGAGGCTGGCGTTGAAGGCAAAACTTGCCTCATCCGGGAGTCGGGTATTCCAACATTATTTCTCAAATCCATCACTAAAATAGTCATAATGTAAAAGAATACAATTATCTCAAAGTTTTCTAATGCAGAATATATATGATAGGCTTCATATTATTATACGTGATTGATGCTTTTACGTTTAAAAGCTGCAACACTACCAGTGCGCCATTACTATATCATATTTTGAAGTCAGAACACCACATCCTCTAGACAGCGCTGTCGAGTCGTATAATTTTTTTTTTTTTTGCTATTCCATTTTGGTGCACCCTATTTCAGAATGCCCTTACCAATTTAAAACCTTTGAAGCCGGCGTATTTATACACAGTAAAAAGTCTGACCCAACGCCAATTATCATTTTTTTTTTACCAAGTGTTATTGTTCAATAGATTACTTATGAAAAAGTACTCACTTCCGTTCTCAGCTTTTGCAAAACCAAATCCAGCTTCTGTACTTTCCTTCCAAACTACTTGAGTGAAATGACCTGAATAATTTTGCAACAAAATAAATATGATTTCAAATATGGATTATAATAATATTCAAGTCTGGACTTCGTTACAGTAGAAATTGAAGTCGCCAGACTCCCATCAGAGTTTTTGGTTACAGTTGTCGTTGTTATCGTCGTTTTCTCCCATTTTTTGCCTGTTTTAAAAAATATTTTATGTCAAACGGTAACTCAAAATACGTTCAAAAATTCAGTATTAATCTAGTATTAAAAATAGACAATTTTTTTTATTATTAACATTACATTATTTGGTTGGTATCGAGTAGTAGTATCTTTTAACAGAAGTCACTATTGGAAATAAAAATTTACGTAAGGAACATGACATTTTCACAAATGATATGAAGTAAAACATAAAATGTATTTACAAAATTACAATATTAAACAGAAGTATAATAATTGAATTATTTATATAAACTGAATAATCTTTCAACTTCCACCAGTTACGTATATGTGTGTAGTAAATAATATAACTATTAATATATTTTTACCAAACTACAAAATTAAATAATTATTTTTCTCATTTCGAGCATTACCGTCTATATCCACGATTTCGACATTGGTCTTTTCGGTTACACCGGGTTTTGGCACATCGGAACCTGACAACATAAAGCAATAAATGTATAAATTACAAACTAAACAGATGTATTGAGTTTTATATAAACTAATCAATCAAAATTTGAATATTAAATTATGCTAATAATGTGATATTCCTTTTTTACTTTCCGACTCTGTTTCATTTTTCGGATCCAGTTCTTTGTCCAGTTTTCCAGTAAGCTCTCCCACATTATCTTTGTATTGTCCGTAAACGTTTCCTTGTGGTGTATAATTTCCACATGCGTACATCACTAAATTGCGTAAAAAAATAGTCAATTCAATAAGTAGTCTTGAGGCTGGCGTTGAAGGCAAAACTTGCCTCATCCGGGAGTCGGGTATTCCAACATTATTTCTCAAATCCATCACTAAAATAGTCATAATGTAAAAGAATACAATTATCTCAAAGTTTTCTAATGCAGAATATATATGATAGGCTTCATATTATTATACGTGATTGATGCTTTTACGTTTAAAAGCTGCAACACTACCAGTGCGCCATTACTATATCATATTTTGAAGTCAGAACACCACATCCTCTAGACAGCGCTGTCGAGTCGTATAATTTTTTTTTTTTTTGCTATTCCATTTTGGTGCACCCTATTTCAGAATGCCCTTACCAATTTAAAACCTTTGAAGCCGGCGTATTTATACACAGTAAAAAGTCTGACCCAACGCCAATTATCATTTTTTTTTTACCAAGTGTTATTGTTCAATAGATTACTTATGAAAAAGTACTCACTTCCGTTCTCAGCTTTTGCAAAACCAAATCCAGCTTCTGTACTTTCCTTCCAAACTACTTGAGTGAAATGACCTGAATAATTTTGCAACAAAATAAATATGATTTCAAATATTCTAAACTAGAAGATATGGCATGGTATTGAATTTCATCGTGACATCACATATCATGAGCTAATCATTTTTGAAACTCTATTCTTTTAATTTACAAATTCAACACAGAACTCACCAACAGGTTTTCCATTTTTTGTACCATGATTTTCGAAGCTATAATCTTTAATTTCACTGTACCACATTTTTGTAGCGTATTCTCCTGAAAAGTATGGGAAGATATATATTACATTGGTAATAAAAATATATGTAGTTATTTGGGCGCAAAGTCTCAGACAATTATTGTCGGCATTATTCCAGGAATATTTACTCATAAAAGGAAACTCGTAGCCATTGTGTGTATATTGGAGGCTTATTGATTAAAGGTCATACATTAGTTTGGTGTCAGCGAAAAAAGTAATTCGATCATGATCAAGAATTATGTAATACGAACAACTCAAAATTACTCGTTGGAATTAGTCGATAAAGCTCGTTGCAGCAACATGAAAAGACATTTTATCCAAACTCGTACTTTGTTAAAAGTGTACTAAAAATCGTGATATTTTCAATAAAGCCAAGTATTCTGATGAACTTTAGGATGCTTTAGGGTGCATAAATTTGAAAAGTCCGCGCACGTACTGTGAACTAAAAAACATACATTACACTCGAGCATAAAACAATGTGGTTTGTCAGTTAGATGGACCGTTAAAGCAACATTAAAACATTTTGCCGTTCTCTAATACACCAATTTTAAGTGTACTGTATATAGTTAAAATTATGTAATTATCGAATACTTTTGGTTCTAATGAAAAAATTATAGCTCCATAATAACAGTCGATCAATTTGGACTTCAATTGATTACGAAACAAATCGTTTCGAGTAGAATACGTTAAGTGCACAATGCAAATTAAAGGTATAGCGGGAAAACTAATTAATATGATGCAATGGTTTCAAAGCAATCAGTGAATCGAAAATCGGATTTAATATTGAATTGTATTACCTGTGAAATCCACTCCCATGGCGCAAGCTATGTTTTCTCCCAATTTATTATCAGAGTGTTTGAAGTTTCCAGTTTTTGCCATTGTATTAGCCCATGCTTTGGCCTTTTCGGAACATTGTTTATTCCACTTTAAAGGACGCGTGTTGTGTGCTTTTCTATATGCATTATGTGCGTCCAAACAAGCTTTCTCAAAGGTATCCATAACTATGCGCCAAGGTTCTGAGAAATACAAATGAAAAAGGTTTCATTTTTCTACCCAAGTTATCTCTTTCAATCACTAATTTTCTTACGCTTCGTTTAAATTCGGAACATTACTATAAACTGCGTCGTCACGATGCGCCTTCGCTGCATGCTTTTATGAATCATTCTATCTGTATGTATAGTTTTACCGTAATAAATTTGTCAATACCAAAACCATTTCTATCAACAACAACACTAGTGTTATCATATGCGGAAGTATATATATCGTGAGCTGACGTTAAAAATGTTGTAATGCGTTTACATGGAGAATAAAAGATAAACATCTGTAGGAGAAACTGCTGTACCTGATGTTCCTGTTGTACCCCAATCTTGACATTGGGTACAAAAACGTAAATGAATTGCCAAAGATAGAAGGTAATAATTTTATCAGATATTAAATCTTGCAAACTACAGTACCTATTAGAACTGCTTTCAATCTAGCCTGCTAATTTTTGGATTCGATTGTTTAAGTAATTAATAGCAATGAATCGTCTTCATCGATTTTTTTACAAGAGGTGTTCAATTTCAGAAGATACAAAAGTAAGATGCATGATGAATTGTTTTAGTAAATATACCCACATCATAATTGCCTTCTGTAAACCACGTTTATGCCTTCGAAACACCAACTGATTCTTTAACCCTCGTATAGGCTTTTCCAGAATAGCTTACTTGGATGTAACTACATAACGGACTGATTTTTATTAGACCAACTTTGATTTTCGCACCATTGTAGCTTATAACTAAAAAACATTCTCTGAGCTCCAATGCAGGTTTGATATAATGTAAGGTACGTGGCGGAATAAAATACCCCGTTCCCATTTATTAGCATTTTAGCGCGAACGCGTATTGATAAGTGTACTTTTACGCCAAATAAAAATGTAAAAAATTTAAACACGATAGTTTAAATTATTTGAAAGTTTTTTAAGAATTTGAATTATTCGAAAAATTCTTAAGAAAGCAATCCATGGTACTTAGAAAACTAACACAACTTTTCGAATAATCTAAAGCTTTTCTGTTCAACAATATTCTACCAAAATCATTACTCCATGGGTGAATACGATACAACTATATGTTTTTAGAACAACACATTCAAGCTTTGTAATGGAACGAAAATTGCAATTGCGCTTTTTCTATAAAGAATTCTTTTTATATTACATCTCACGCGAACTATTCCATACGGATTCGCACGAGTTGACTAGAAAGTTACACCCAAGTCCTAATTCAGAACGACCAACATTCATCGATTCTGCAATATTCATGCATGAGATAGTAATAAATCTAACTTATCAAGCTTGATTCATGTACATTCCGAACTTGATAAAAATTTCTGTCGATACCAGTCACTATGTTTATCCATCTATTGTTGATCCGTAACATTCATAATCATATATATTATCTTTTCATAACCGTTTATATAAAACTGTATTGTATTTTTGTCCTGGATGTATGGCTCAATGCTCCACAATGATCAAAATTATTACAATATATCAGCAATAGCGTATGTATTCTGCAAATGGCGATCACTATCCTTTGCATAATACGGCATCCACCATCTCCAAATGCGACCTCAAATGTTGATTTATTTACAATCCGTAAGACTCCAGCAATAAGATACACATCACCCAAAAAGAAGTGTCGATCATATATGTTCTTCTGTTTCTATAAAATTTACTTCTGGAACGGTTCAGTATTCAAAATTAAGTCCGATATGGTACAGATTATTTTGGAGTGATTAATATCTTGCAACACCAACCAACAACGTTCAATTATGATACTAGTTTTATTTTTACACGACTTATGTGTTTTGAAACACTATATGTCAGTCCCTATACTTTTAAAAATGTTCACTTGATAAGGTTATATTATGCAAAAAGAGAAGACTAGTGGCCAAATTATTGGAAAGTTTCACCCTTCATATTTACTTTTCATGGACATTTGATATCATAATTATTTTACAAATTTGAAATTGATTTTATGCCCGCTCAAATCATGATATCAAACAAGTTGCTATTCACGAGTGACGAAGCCTTCACCATTTAGCTTTTTATTGTTCGTTTAAAACTGTAATGATAAATCAAAACTGGTATTTAGTCATTATTATGGAATACATATATTGTAACGATATACAATTTTAATATAAAGAAATTTGATTTACATGTTTTATAATGGCCACTATCCATATACTGGCTTTCAATACATATTTCTTTACGGTTGACAAATCAACTATCAGTGAATATTTTTAGTTTGATGCCACGCCCACATTTCATGACTTACTTTACGCACCCTTAGAGTGCAATTAATTTTTGGAGTATTGAGAAAAAGTATATATATATACATATTGAAAATTATTGAAATATCATAGAAACCTTTTGAAATGCTGATGCTCGAATGATTGCGAACAGATGTATCAAAAAATGGGACAATTGCATGGCTATAGTTCATTTAAATTGCATGGTTGGTTTGCTTATCGAATAAATTTACCTGTTATATGAAATTCCAATCTATAAATTTGGACGAATGGCAGAATGTAAAATCACCATGCATACGGTTTACGTGACATATTTTCTAGTAACTGTTCGTCATAATACACGAATTTTTTTCACGAGGTCGCTGCAAAATGGACTAGAGCTCGAGAAGGTTATGAGTGAGAATCCTTTATCAAAATTTCAGTCTAAAGATGAGGTTCGTTTAACATTTCTATGTAAAATTTTGAAATACAGTGTATCCGGAAGTTGTGACTGTTTGTACCAGTGTATGGCAATTTTATTTTTGTGAAACATATTTGTTGCCTTGTTACAATACACCAAATTACAAAATTAAGACAGTTGAACCTCTTCATATAGTCGTTTTGATTCTTGCTGCAGTACCCTTACTGCCATTACACACTGAACCTAAAATACGTGGAAATAACTATTCAGCCCTTAGACATGGAAAATCATTATGCTTCTTCATTTTTTACTTCTGCAGCAATTCTCTCTGTGCTCGGGTAACAAGACTCCAAGCTCTTCTTTCAGCGAATTACAGACGAGAGAGCAATGCCAAAAATTTACGGACAAAACGGGTCTGAGAAAATTTTTGGACACTTAGTGGAAAACTTAAAAAGTCGCTTTTCTCTTTGATTACTGGACCAATTTCTTCAAAATTTGCAATGGTTGAAGATGAAATTTTTCTTTAGAAGGCTATTATTGTATATTTTGAATATTTCTGTTAGCGCTGTAAGATTCGTTTTTGGATTTGGACACGTAATGAATTTGTTTTTATGCTGGCACTCTTCTTTTTGTTCTCTTGATCACGTGCCCATCAAACGTTGGTGATTCCCGTGTAATTCTTGCTTTGCTAAGGTTTGTTCATGGGGAATGGCGAACAGCGCCGTACTTGGTGTTACTACAGTTGTGAGTCGGACCATCTTGCAATTTCAATTCACGCTGTCACAATACAGGAACTTGGTACCGTAACACAGCGCGGTGACACTGAACTAACTGTCTCGTAAAAGCGGGGCTTGCACTCACTGTTATAACTAATGTCTTTTAATGTTGCTGCTTTTCTTGGAATCGGTAAACTGTGCCGTACTGAGTAAGACACTGTAACATAACCATGTAGCTGCTTCATTGTTCAGTTTGTTCAGGATACCCTATTTCGTTGAATTGATGATAAAATATTTCGTTTCGTCCTACGTGTCCATATATTTGAGCATAGCTCTCATGTTTTCATATCAACAAGAACAAGAATAGCAGTTCTGCTTGGCACAAAATTTGGATTTATGAAGGTTTAGTTTAGATAGTATCGATAGAACAGATCATTATCCTTATTATTTAAATTGTATTTTATGTATCATATCTTCCATGCTTTTCTAAATATTGAAATTGGGTCGAATATCAGCTGCTGCCTCAGCATCTACCGACATGTTGACGAATTACTTTCGTCGCTTCTATTTTTCGTCGCTAACCTTCATCAGTAAAATTATATTTTCAAATTCTACTTTCTTTCTTTTATTTGATCACAGAGCATTCACATACAGGGCATTCACTCTGGGAAACAATTAGACTATGTGTTTAGCATTTCAAACCTATCCCACAATCATCACTCTAGTTTGTATCAATAATATACCATTAGATCACGTATTTATTCATGCTCTTTATGGTTCCGAGTAAATAAATGTCAAATTGGATATTAGGTAGATATTATGAGCTTCTGCAATTATATTTATCAGTACAACATGAGCCACACGTTTATACTAAGTAGAAACTGATTAATAATACTCACTAGACAAACACCAAACATTGATAAACATGAAAAACTACATTCGACATATTCTGAATATTATACTTAAATCATGATTGAATACATATTTGAGTATAACTAATAGCTAATACTTTATTAGCCAGTTTAAACATTTTTAGTTGACTTTTTCTTTAAACTGATCCGGAATATTTCCTCTCGGTTGATATAGAGCAATGACGTATGTTTCTCCTTCTTTGTTTGATGCCACACCCACTCCAATTTTCTCGCTTCCACTCCACACAAGCTGAGTGAAATTTTCTATACAAAACACAACACGAATGTAATGGGGCAATATAAACATAATATTAATTCAACCGGAAAACTGAATTTGAAAATAGTTTCCTATCAATATTCAAAGCAGATTAATATTATTATAAAGTAGTTAATATTATAAAATCCAATGCAAATGTTTAGGCAGTTATCAGTTCTCAACGTGGAAAATCGGGATCCACACTATAATAATAATGTAGTTCATAAACAGAAATGAACGAAATAAAAAAAAATGAACTAATCGTGCGATCTAGCCCATAATACATTCAAAAGATCAAACTGTTTATATTCAATGCTTCGAAACTCCAATGCTTTTTATGGTCTCGTTATATAGAATAAACCATAAAATTTCTTACTATTCGAATCATTTGAAATTGGATTGATGTAATCGTATTCCTCGTTTTCATCGTACCACATCAAAGCAATTTCATCACCTTAATAAATTAGGTTAGCGTATTCAACATTCAAAAATTTTAACAAAGAAAATATCAATGTAGACGCAGTGATATAACATATAGTAATATGTTGATAAAAATATGTGTTAAACTATTATTAGCACATTCATTATTGGGACGCCCTCCAGTCTGCTTATAGTTTTGTACTGTTCTACTACTAACTAGTCAAGTTACAATTTATGTTAGACGAATTCTTTCATAATATCTACACAAACTATATATTTTACCTCTTGGTCTAGGCATATTAACAGCAAGAGTTTGTCCACAATTGTTATCCGAATAATCAATTAGTTGATCGTTCTTCAGCATCTTTAACGCATGTTTCTGTGCATCTTTAGTCAACTCCTTGCTGGTTTTAAGCCTGTTTAATAAGTAAGATTATCAGTAAATATGTTACAATATTGTCTTAGACTTAATTATACAGAGCATTCAATAGGATATTGACATCATCTGAAGCATGTATAAGGTTTCTAGTTTGAAAGTGTAGACATGATACTCATGTAGGTTCTTTTAACCTTTTTTTTTTGTATTTCTTGGAAATTTGTTTAGGTTTCCAACATAAAAAAATTTTAACAACAACATTTAAAAAATGAATATTATACATATATATTTGATTATCATCTTTTTGTTTTTCTCATGTTCATAAATTTATGGGTTTTATTCGCAATACAACTATGGCAAGAAAATGTTGAGATACGTTTTTTACAACTGAAATTTGAATGTTAATTTTAAGCAATTTTACCAGATTACAACTATGTGTATTTATTTTACAATTGTACAACTCTATATCTTCTGTTTAACACACGATGTAGTCAAAATTGAAAACTGACGACCTAATGCATAAACATTTGGGAATAAAAATTGAAGGTTTTAACTTCAATAGAATTTACTTTGGCGCTCCGTGTCCTCTGCGAAATCTGTTGATTTGCTTCAACATACTTTTTCGAAAAGATTTCGCTTCAAGTTTTGACATATTGTTCACTCCATCATGTATGTCTTCATCACTATCGCTATCTTCTTCCTCGTCGTCAACTAAAAATCAAAATTATTTTTTACGTCTTCCAAGCCGCTGTTATAGAAATGTGACAAGATATATACTTCTTCTATCAATAAAATTGAGACATTTAAATCTATCATGAATAGTTCATATTGGTGTTTTTTTTCAAGTAAATTATCAAAATTTCTTTTCTGAGTATTCATGAAATTTGTCATTTTTAATTTTCAGTCTAGCTTTTACCAGATATTCATCTTAAATCGAATCCTAATCAGTTGATCATAAACGGAAATATAAGGAAATGGTTCCCCGGTCGAAATATCTCGTGAATGAATATATATATATAGAGTTCAATTGTGAAAGCGGACGATATATTTAGAGCCATCAAATCATGCTTGTAATGAGGTATTTTTATTTAACGTGCTCGTATTAACCTCCTCATTTATGTAAACAGCATGAAATATTGCGTTATTACGGAGCATAGGCTTTTAAAATATCGAAGATACATGTCATCGACATGCTATGTTACAACCATTAAATTAACTTTAATGTGAGTGAATTTATTTTTGAAATAAGTGCCTTACTTTCATCACCATCCAATACTTCAACTTCCCATCTAGATGATGTAGAAGAACTCCATCCTCCACCAGGTGTTTCTACTACAGTTGTTGTAGTGATGATTGTTTTCTTCATCAAAACATCTAAATAACAAGAAAATATGATGAGATAAATTTTAATTACTTTCATTCTAATTCGGCACTGATTGTCGTCTCCTCATTTTTTTTTATTTGTTCTTCTATTCAATAAATCAAAAAATAACAAATGGTCAAATACTGTGTATACCACGTTTAAGAATGATGTGTTATAATTCAATAAATAATTATTTAAAATAGAAAATACTGTTTTGAGTAAAAATCTCTGTCTTCCTTGTTTCTGTCGTTCCTGGAGTTGGAGCGCCTGTAATTCAAGATAAAATATAAGGGATTTAGCATTTGCATTAAAGTACATCATAAAATAATCGCATCTAAGCCTTAAACATTTTGTGCGATTTGAGCAATAAATAAAAGAAAGGACTTTCATGCAAATGCATATGCAAAAATTGGATACGATTTTTCGGTGCAGCGCTAATATAATTAAGAGGTGAGCGTAGTAAATGTTAGGGATATATGGGCATGAAGTTATCATGCATTAACAGTTGAGAGCTCTACTTCTATATTCGCTATTTTCCATACGGTGGGGCTTTTATTTCCTTAGTATCCTAAGAGAATATTATATTGTATGAAAGGGTGTTTCTAAAATTATATCCACCTCGATGTCTACTGATCTAAAAAGTGTACCAACCTGTGTCCGCTGGCAGCGTAACGTCTCGGCGCTCTCCTTCACCCTTGCCAGTTTCTTCGATATGTTTTTGCGGCAAATCTATTTTGGCCGACTTGGGCAAAACGTTTTCTTTAAATTGCCCACCGACATTGCCTTGCGATGTGTAATTCCCACATGCATATATTCCTATTAGATGAAAATTGAGTTGGCAAATTTTACTTGAACTACATATGTAACATCACAACAAGTTAGATATGTACCGATATATTTGCAATATCTCTACAGCTAACTGATCGTCTATGTTAGGTGAAAATGTATTGAATACAGAACTGTGAGAAATAAATTATGTTTATGTAAATATTTTCATGTTAGGTTTTTGAGAAGCATATACACCTTAGAATGGCATATGACGCCCTCATTGAAGGTTGCATCATATTTCAATGAAATTTTACCATATCGTCAACCAATATAGGCAATTATCTAATATTTATGATGGTGATGATCGTCGATATCATATTGTAATTCGAAAGGAGATATCGGTGCACGTTTTCTACCAACTGTAGAAAACTTTAACTATAAATTATCTCCCAAGCATACTGTTCTTACTTCCATTTGGCGCTGTGGCGACCCCAAATCCAGCCTTTTCCGTGTTTTTCCAAACAATTTGAGTGAAATGACCTGTTAATAAATATTTGTTTTAGATTCTAATAACACAAACATGAAATTCATATATCATCTGTCATTTCAAAAAACCAACGAGATTATTAGGAGTTTGTTTTCCTATAGAATATATTATAATATTTAGAAAGTTTTAATATTACCAAAAATTCGAGTATAGTAACATGTAAAATACCGATAATTTACTCAATTAATATTGGGTATAATATATTAATTTAAGCTCAAAAAATGAAGGCAAATGAAATCATTTTTGTAACTACATGTATATATTATTGTTTAACGTAACCATACTGATTTCACGATACAGAAGTCTCGTACCTACTGGTCTCCCATTGGCAGACTTATTCATAGTAAAACTGTAGTCATCAACTTCATCATACCACATCTTTGAGATTATGAATCCTGGAATAAAATTAATAATAAAAAACGAAAAAAAAAATTATTATTAACTTGCAAAATAGTATGTAATGTAATTCAAATTGAATACTCATTCACCTGGAGTTGCAGTAAAATGATATTATGGCTTAAATATGTTTGATCAGTGATGGTTAGAAAAATATGTCAGAATTACTGATATAATCCAGTTGAATCAAAAAGGGACATACCATTGAAAGGGCGCCCCGATCTATACGCAATATTTTCGCCCAGACCATCTTTGTCTGAATGTTCCAGCTTTCCTATTTTAGTCAGTTGTTCAGCCCAGTGCTGAGCTTCTTTAGTCAAGTCCGGGTCTTTCTCCAATGGGCTTACGCCATGTGCTTTTCGGTAAGCGTTGTGAGCTTGAAAACACTCCTCTTCAAATTTTTGTGGATCCATTACAAGCTTCAGGATTATTTTTTCTATGAAGCTGTTAAAAAACATGAATTAAAATCAAATTTTTTTTGGTCATTGTATACCGTACGAAGCATTTGCAAAAACTATATCTTTGTTGTCGAAAACTTACTTTTATGAAGCGAAAGATTTTCCTTTAGTCAACCTTACCCTTTCCTCTTGCAATAATTTAGAATAGAAAATCTTTTTCGCGAATTATTTTATCGTTTTATCAACATCCGATCGCATACGCATTTGATCATGATGATACATATGCTATTGTAACAAAAAACACCAGGTGAGAACGGAAGGTCCATTTCAACAATTTCCTCAATTGGTTCTCAGTGTAGTTTTTGTTCCTTTCCGCCGACGAATGAAGCGGACAGTGGGAAAATTAGGAACCTATTAAGTTGGAAGTACCGACAACTTGTCTAGTACGAAATCAAAAAATTAAAGAAATCACAAATGTTTTGAATGCAATTCTCTACGAGTGAAACTTTGATGTATCACGCAATTTGGGATATTTGTAGCGTCACAAAAGTTACTTTCAACACCTTGGCCTCACCGCGAATCCGCTTTATATAACTATAAATTTTAATTCGTGTCCCAACCTCATTTTTGATGATAAATAATCTCTGTGATTGTAATCATTCAGTCGCAGTCATACTCATTCACAAAATCTATTTACACGTAAAGTCTGCTCTCATTGCTAATGCCCAGTGTCCATCAGGTTTGCAGCATAAATAAACTTTTCCGACCAAACCACGATAAACAATTTAAGAGCTACTTCAAATCATTAAGTATTTATACTTTTTCAACGCGGGAAACCTCGTCACACTTGTTGACTAGTGGCACGATTGAAAATAAGCTTTGTATACTTATGTAAAGTGGTCAATATTGCTGTTTAGGTCCATATGCCCAATTTCACACAGTTGCTGTCCATATTTGTATTTAGAATCGAATAGGAAAGTTTGGATATTTTTCTTATTCTGAAATTATTAACTAATAATCGTAAATCAATTTTCGAATTGGTAACATATAGCTTATAGCTTCAAAAAAGAATTTTGCATTACTTCTACGAGTATGCTGATGTGTAACAATCAGAATATATATTAATTTTGTCACCACATTATCACATTGATTTCCCTCCCCTAAATGAAATAGAACAAATTAGAGAGCACATCGTGTAACACTGCTATATATACTCATATTCGTATTACTTATACTCGTTATTTTGATGTAGAAGAATTGCCCGATTTATGGTGATGTTATGAAATATATATTTGTTAAAGACCGTAATTGTATCACAGAGAAACGGAGGTTTTTACAACCACCCCAGAATATAACTTCTCTTTGTCGAGAGCTGTATGACTTTTCATGCGAAAGTAGTATTCAATTGTCCATTTGTCAAAATTCTATGATTAGCCTAGAAGGCAGGAATCTTACGGATCAAATGACACTTGGGTGTGAGATATATCAATTTATTTCTCCCAAAAAGAGCGAATCAGGTGTTGCAAACACGTGAATAAGATCAGTAAAAAGGAGAAAATGTATTCCTAATGCTACTACACCAGTTTATGGAACAAACCACATATGCAAGCAAAGATGATAATGTTATTAACTTATTGGGTACTTTCAGGTCTAATTAGATAAATTGAATAAAATAAGTTCGTTTAATCAGCTTACAACATGGCGTTCATAAAACATTAATTTAGGCTTTCCTCAATCTGTACTAAAATGTACCTCAAAAAAATAGTTCAAATTTTACTGAGTGTGCTCGTCAAGAATATTGCTAAGATGTTATTTACATATATCTTAGATGCCGGCAAAGAAACTTGAGAATTTTAAATAGGCTTAAAAGTGAAAAAGAAAGCACACTTTTTGAATTCATTGTAGTATATTTTACCCATATGGTATCATGGTTTCACAAAGCATATCTGAAGTGACAAAATTTATTGGATTTACAATTTTATTTGGCTCGACAAAGAAAGTTGAGAATTTTAAATATTCTTAAAATGTGAAAGAGAAGGCACATTTTTTTAATTCAATATATAGATTGTAATATATTTTACCCATATGGTATCATGGTTTCTCAAAGCATATCTAAAGTGGCAAAATTTATTGAATTTACGTTAATATTTGGCTCATTCAAACGGGACTGATACAAGAATAATGTAATTGAAATACGACGCGTGCGTAATCAACTCAATCAATTTTATTCGGTTATTTGGATCTATTGTAATTCTAATATTTATAGATTAATAAGCGTTTCTGTATCCGCTTATTTTTCTGAATGTTATAGATACATGTATATGTTCTGAAAAAAATTGGAGCGTCATTAATATTTCATACAAATACAGCCTATTCATTCCGGGTAGGAAATGGTTTTACGCTTTGCACGGTAATAATATAATGAACAAATTTCCAGTTATTTTGGGGATATCCAACAAAAAGCGGATGATTGATATCCGGTAATAGTGATGTATATTTTTATCCGACATGATTTTTGAGAAATTTTTTCAAAACCATTGTATGTTTTATTTGATTACGAATGCCCCTCGTACATTTACTTTCTAATGTATTAAGTTGATGTAATCAACCATATTGACTAACGGTGGATCATTTGACGGATCAAAATGCACACACACTGACATTCTAAGAGACCGTAAAATATGCCAACGTGGACGATATTACTACCACCTCTCCGGTAAATTTCTAATCTTAATTTCAAGAAAAGTTGAAATCATTGCAATTTTTTTAATGTTTGCCGAAGTTTTCAATATAGATCACAATTTACGACTCTCTACTCCATTAATGGTCAAGTAACGTTGAAAGGTTACATTTTATATATATATATACATATAAACATTTTAATACGTGGTTCAGACTCGGGTATTCAACAAATTTATGTCTATAGGGCACAAATATAGTCGGTCATTCAAAAATCAGGGCTTCATAAATATGCAGTAAAATAAAGTCATCAAGATGGCATAACAAAATGTCTAACCTCAAACATAAGATATAAAAATTGTCATGCATTTCATATTTTCTGCAGAAATGTATTTGGGGATTAGTAGATGTACTAGACCTCGACTGTATTACACGGAGGCGAGAGATGAGTAAGCAACACGATCTACATCCGATTCGATATTTACATGGGTACTTTTAGCGCAACGTTGTTAGTGTGAGCCAAAATCGTCAATTGAAAATAAAATGACACAAATAGCAAAGATTTGTGCAGGAAAACCTATACTAATGTTCTATGAACGCCATGTTGTGAGTTAAATCCGTATGTGGTCTATTCTCTATTGCAGGGGTTCTCAAACTTTTGGTGTTGCGGAGCCCCTGAAAAGGTTGACCATTATTCGCGGAGCCCCAAAAGAAATGTTAAAATTGTAGCTTTCCGATAAATATTCCTGAGTAAGTTAAAAGTACTTAACTTAATTTAAAGGCTAAACCTTTTTTTAATGGGGTTAATGCAAGTCATAAATAAATCAAAATTTCAAAGATAAATTATATATACTCTTACTAAAGCTGTAAATTTGACGCTTGACAAACATATTAATAAACTAGGGGTCGAATCTTTTCCCTTTTGACATTTTCGGAAGACTTAAAACTAAAAGGCTGCTAATAACGTGCGCGATTGCATTTTGTTACAATCACCGATAGTTTTCGTCAGTATGGCATGTTAAACATCTTTACGCCAGTGTTTATTCTCCCTAAATCAAAAATTTTCTTCGGCTTATACACGTATTGTTCCACAATGACGACGATGATTGCTTTTTTGTTCTCGTGAGGAATTATGAGTTCAATGTGAAAAACATGTTACCATATATAGTCATCGGCGACGAAATGCTAAAAATAATAATTAATAATAAAGAGGTAAATCCGCAACTCAAATGTCTTGATTGAAAAACGGCATTCCAAAATATTAAATTTCAAAATAAAAGATCACACTATAAGTTTGGTTTTAGCAGACTCACGTCAGATTAAAAACGCTTTTATAGGCATTGTAAATCACAAAATTTGGTGTAATGTTAGGTTTTCTTTGGTTATTCGTAGTACAGTAACTGAGAAATCGAAACACAGTCAATTGTGTGCGCGATTTACCTTTTTTTTATTCTGAAACTACCGACGGAGCCGCATGCATTAAAATAAATTTCAATCGTATTTTGCCCAGATCTTGTGATTTTTTTAACGGCGATATCTTGCTTAATAATAATCTCGAGTGCAAAAGAACAAATCAAGTTTGACAAATTCCAAGATCGCAAAAATACGACTCCAATTTATTCATAGGTGGCAGTTTATCACGTATTTTATGTTATTTTAGAATAGTATTCCTTCATTTTAGTAATCCTAATAGTAATCTCGAATGAAACTTGAGTAACTATGAGTACAATTGAATTATTACGACGAGACACTTTAAATGCTCGCATCGGCCATACATTGAATATTTTACGCAACAGAAATCTCGTTAACCGTTTTTTATAATCGCAAAGAATGTTGCGCGGAAATTTCCGATTCAAATCCCCACCTCTTGAGAATCCTGGCTGCGCTCCAGCTTATAAATAATGTCATTTTTCGATTCCGCCTCTTTGCCATATTTCGAGGCTATAATGTTGTCAAATTTTATCAAAGCTGTTATTGTTTCTTTGAACAGTTACAAAACTAGTCATTATTTTAAAAAGTAATCGGATAGCTCACGGAGCCCCTAGGTTTCTCTCGCGGAGCCCTGGGGCTCCGTACGAAGCACTTTGAGAACCTATGCTCTATTGCATAAACAGCGCAGTAGTATTAAGAATACATTCTCTCCTTTTAGATATTCTTATTGACCTATTTTCAACACCTGATTCGTTCGTTTTGTGAGAATATTTGATTCCACTCACTTCAAAGTGTCATTTAATCCGTAAAATCTTTGCCTTCCGTAAGGCCTGATTCTAGAATTTTGACAAGAGGACAATTGAATACTATTTTTGCGTGAAAAAAATCATACAGTTTACGACAAGGAGATACTTTATTCTGGATTGGCAGTAAAAACTGACGTTTCTTTGCTTGCCGTATTATTTAATACGGTATAATAGCATCGTACTATATTGACAACGTACTGATTTTGTCCTATTATCCTCTTATAAACTTTCCTCTCAATTTTGTAAAAAGCTGTACGTATTTCATATTTTTGAATAAAAGAATGGACACCTCATAAAAATTGTTTATGAATAAAGGAAATGGTTTTACGCTCAACACGTTAATACTATAGTCAACAAATTTCCAGTTAACTCGGGCATTTCAAACAAATAGTAGGCATGTCACTAGTCCAGCATTTGTTAAATTCGTCGAATCCGCGTAATAGGTCATGGAATCGAATCGTTCAAATACTTGACGTCATAATCAGTGGGAACGTTTACGTGTGTCTTATTTCAAATTTTCCTGCCAAACTGTGCCATAAGTAGCTGTGGAATTATTTTAGTATTTTTATACAAAGTATATTTTTCTTATTTATGTGGTCCAATATAAAATCAAATGGTCGGCGATGTTAGCTTTGTTTGCAAGTCATCTCTTTATACATAGGCTTCCATTATTAATTTAAAGCATCTATTCAACACAGATTTTCTTATCGTCACGCTAATAACCGAATTGCGTAAGTCATTTTTGGCGATTTTGAGTTTTTTATAAAATGGGTATTTATGTAATGCTGCGCAC